GCGCCCAAAAATGATTTGAAAACACTTCATGAACTTCATGTTTACAAAAATGTAGATTTGCAAATAGAAGAGCTAATTTGTTTGTCATTTTTTAATAAAAGAGTACCTACTGAAAAAAAAGAAAAATGGTTGAAAAAATTAACATTAGAAACAATCATTGCAAAGAAAAAGATGTAGAGCAGTGGATTTTTTATTTCAATTATAAAAAGGACATAAATTAATAAGTACTTACTGTAATTAATTAAATATAGTATCAAAAATAAAGAAATTTTATAAAAATACGTCATAATTAATAAAACGGATATAAATTATTTATAAAATCGTATGAAAATGGGAGAAATTTGAATAACTTAATTATTTTTAGGTTATGTTTTACATAAATCAAATAAAATATTTCTTTCGGCAGGTTTTATGTATGCTAAATAATTTAAGTGTTATTTTCTTAGTTTTTTTACGGTACCATCATAGTGCGATTCCAATTGTTGCTTATTTTATAAGCTGATACGTTTTTATTAACAAATTATTTTTTTTTTCATGAAAAAAATTTTTTTTCCGTAAACTTCAATTCACTGTCTCAGAGAGTATTAAAAAACTAGGTAACCCTTAAATTTTTAATAATATCGATTAAAAACTAACGGAGTTATTTACTATTTTGCGCAGTAATAATTTCGCGGCTCGAATGTGCAAAAATACGAAAATCGATTTGAGCGACCTCTAAATATTCATCGAATTTGGATTTTTTGGTATCAATCTTTTAGTTTTAATGTAATCTTTATAATTTAGGCCAGTGCGGGTTCATTTTTAAAAAAAGGCTTTTTTTGAATCACCCTAATGTGTATATTATATATAAATTACGCTGTATATTATACACTGTATAATATGCAGCGTAATTTATATATAAATGCATTTTTCTCGAAAATGGTGCATCTGAGCAATTCAAATCAAAAGTACCTATTTTTCGTAAAAAACTATAAATTCTCATAATTTCATAAAAAAAATTAAATTATTAACCCAGAAAAAAGTTGGGGCTATTTTTGTAACTTTGCCCCCTCCAAATGTTACGCCTATGATTAAATTTTAACAGTTTTGATCATAGATCTAAATTCAGCATCTCAAAATTACCAAAGTACCGAAAATTCATTTGTTCATGTTTAACCCTCTAGGAATAGTTTAAAAAAAATTATCCTCTTAGGCTCCTATTCAGGGGGCCGTAGCTCCTTTAGGGAGCATTTTTTGATACATGTTTATTAAACAAAAAAGTGTTATTTTTATACGAATAATGCACTGTTTAAGTTTGGCCCCCTAATTTCGGGACACCCGTATAATGATAATTGTACCATAAATGTTAAAAAAACGCGAAAATTCGATGGAAATCAAACTTTGGCCTCGAATAACTCTGGAAGAAATCAATTTATAGAAAAATGACAAGAGACCTTTTTTGTAGAGCTTTAAATTTACTATGAAAATCTAAGATGATCCTTGACATAAGTTGATTCGATTTAGACGTATAAAATTTCAAAGTTAAAAAAAAAATTCCCAGATTATTTAAATGGGAAATAGAAAATTGCGATCCGAGACCTCTAAATCTTCAAATTAAAAGCTCAAATTTTGACGAGGTCTTTGTGTTGACATCCTCTGAAAGAATTTGCCGACCATTTGAAGAAAAAGAAAAAGTCGATTTTTTTTAAACACCCTAATATATACATATATATATATATATATATATATATATATATATTAGGGTGGGCCAAAAAAAAACTTTTAATTTTTTTTCTTTAGGTACCATGAAAATATCGTCCAAGATGACGAAAAAAAAATTCTCCTAAAGTTTGAGCTCTTAATATTAATATTAAGAGGTGGCTCATCGCGATTTTTTATTTTCCATTTAAATAACACGGGAAAAAAACATTTTTTTGTTTGTAATTTTATTGCGATTTAACGAATTTAAAAGATATTTGAGGTTAAAGTTCAACCTCAAATAGTAAATGATGACTTTTATAGTTTTCCATGCTCTATTACGAAATATTGGCTCAAAAACATGAAATATCATATTTTTCGTGTAGTTTATCGAGTGTTCTTTGGTAAAACAATACAATTTCTACGAAATATCAATAATCAATATCAATAATTTTTTTTTCTATAAGTACTTGATTTAAAAAAAAACTTTTAATTTTCTTTTCTTTAGCTACCATGAAAATATTGTCCAAGATGACGAAAAAAAAATTCTGATAAAGTTTGAGCTCTTAATATCAATATTAAGAGGTGGCTCAAGCGATTTTTTATTTTCCATTTAAATAACACGGGAAAAAAACATTTTTTTGTTTGTAATTTTATTGCGATTTAACGAATTAGTGTGTTGTAAAAATCAATACATATTCTTGTAGGGAATTGAACGATCTACAAAAAAGATCTGATATGATTTTTTGCATAGTCGACTCTTTTAAAAGTTATTTGAGGTTAAAGTTCAACTTCAAATAGTAGGTAAATGATGACTTTTATAGTTTTTCACTAAATATTGTCTCAAAAACATGAAATATCATATTTTTCGTGAAGTTTATCGATTGTTCTTCGGCAAAACAATACAATTTTTTATAAAATATCAATAATCGTTGAAAAAACGGTTTTTTCCTATATTTAATTTTTTTTAATTCGAAATTTTTTCTTTACATCATTTCCTTAAAAAATAATAAATATTCTATTTACACTTGACTATTAGGTAATGTAGAGTAATAAAAGCCATGTTTCAATAATTTTCCAATTAAAATAAAAAATGTTATTCCAACGTGCACTTTTTCACTATTTTGGAATCAAACTAAATTTTTCTTGTTACAATTGGGATATTTTTGCTGTTGGTTTTTAACTACTCGCTATAAGTATCAAATATACATATACATATTTAATATATTTGATTTACCCATTGACTTTATCAATAAGAATGTAGAATTTTGGACACAGGATGAAAGCTATCAAGATAATCTAGTATTTTTCAAACGTCTTAGCGTTCTCAATGATGTAGCAGAAAGAGGAGTTGCATTAATAGAAAAGTACAACAAATGTTTGATTCTAAGATAGTGAAAAAAGTACAAGTTATGGAATAACATTTTTTATTTTAGTTGATAAATTATTGAAACATGGCTTTTATTACCTAATAGTCAAGTGTAAATAGAATATTTATTATTTTTTGAGAAAATGATTAATTTTTTTGTCATTACTTATGTAAAGAAAAAAAATCGATTTTTTTTAAATCAAGTAGACTATAGAAAAAAAAATTATTGATATTGATTATTGATATTTCGTAGAAATTGTATTGTTTTACCAAAGAACACTCGATAAACTTCACGAAAAATATGATATTTCATGTTTTTGAGCCAATATTTCGTAATAGAGCATGGAAAACTATAAAAGTCATCATTTACTATTTGAGGTTGAACTTTAACCTCAAATATCTTTTAAAAGAGTCGACTAAGCAAAAAATCATATCAGATCTTTTTTGTAGATCGTTCAATTCCCTACAAGAATATGTATTGATTTTTACAACACACTAATTCGTTAAATCGCAATAAAATTACAAACAAAAAAATGTTTTTTTCCCGTGTTATTTAAATGGAAAATAAAAAATCGCGATGAGCCACCTCTTAATATTAATATTAAGAGCTCAAACTTTAGGAGAATTTTTTTTTCGTCATTTTGGACGATATTTTCATGGTACCTAAAGAAAAAAAATTAAAAGTTTTTTTTTGGCCCACCCTAATATATATAGGTCCAGACTTATAGAGAATTGCTCGTTTTTAAATAGACACCCTGCATATTATGTATATACATATGCTTGATTTGCCGGATTTAAATTTCCCTATGTTCCTATTTTTTGCATTTATAAGTCATGGAGCGATATTTACTAGAACACCGTGTTACTATTCTTAAGAATCATTAAAAATATGGAGAATGCTATGCATAAACCGTTCGAAAATTACGTTCAATTTTCGGTCGTGCTAATGCTCCTAATCAGACAATGAGGGCGAAGGTTAGTGATAAAATTTAAGGAAACTGATTCGGTTAGAGACATATAAATACCTGTGTGACGTCGTACTAGCCAATCTGCTAGAGTTACCGAAAATCCTGAAACCTAGATTTGTCATGGTTTCTAACAAGTTGCCATTTCGAGGAGCAGTTTACAGCAAATTTTCTGACAAGGCAACAGGATGTTGAATTTGCAAAGACAATTGATGAAGCGCACTTTAATGATAATAATATATATATAATAAACAGTTTTATTTATTGTCAAGTGCAAAATATACTAAAATAATTCAAATTCATTTTCAATAATTATAAAGACAATACAACAAATCTGGAAGGCAGTTTAAACTGATTTTAAAATTCCAGTCCCTAAAGAAAATAAAATATATGTAATAATAATAATAATAATTTAAACACAAACAAAAAAGTAACAAAACAAACACAATTAAAGAAATTAGCTGTTTTAATTTAAAGTTGCTTTAAGCAAGTACTTTTTATAAACATTAGTGATGGATTTACGGCGGCATAATTTGAAGGGCGGCATAATTTGAAGGGCGGCAAAATTTTAGAGGCGAAAAAAGTAAAGACAATCAATTTCAATAAATGGTTCAGATTAATTTTTATAAAAAATTAATTAATTAATTAATCACGGTTGCGGATAAGATCCAACAATAAAAAAGTATTCGAGATAACTACATATATGGTTGTATTAGATAAACAAGTTTAAAATCCACTTGCTGGTGGTCAAAATGGTACATTGTCTCCAAACCACCAAGGAAGAAGAAGAAGAAGAAGAAAAGATCGTGCTTCGCGCTGTAGAAAAGTCACAGCAATCATTTTAGTTTTATGAATGCTCTTCATGTGTACAAGTCTCGAATTATTTTATTCTGTTTCTTAACACCAAAAAAATAATTGATTGATAACTTTAAATTAAGCACTGTTTTTTTATAATTTGTGGTGGTTTTGATTTTATCTTTGAATTAAATATGAGTGGTTATCGAAACAAATTTAGCGGTGGAGAATATCGTAAAAGAAAAGCAGAAGAATCTACTAAAATAGATAATTTACTTGAAAAAATTCCAAAAATATCTAGTTTTATGACAAGCTCAAGTAAGTCTTCCAATAATGATCAATAACCATCATGTTCATCGGTCGTAAGTATCTTGTTATGATTGCTAATAACTTTTTTATATATATAACGTTAGTCGGGATAAACATTAAATAAATGCCAGTTGTTTAAATTGATTTTTTTTCTAGCTGGAATTAGAAGAGATTTCAGAACAAGATATCGAAGAAGTACAGTCACACCCTTCTCTATTACAAGATACGAACAAGACGCTTTCAAATTTTCCTTCATCACAAGATACTGAAGAAATCCAGTCAACAACTGATATTTTAAAATTTAATACTGATCCATTTTTATGGAATTTGAATGAAGAAACGCGGGATTTCATAACTATAAACGGTATACCACGAAATGATAATACGGAAAAATTCCAGAAATGTTTATAGTGATAAAACGAGGTATTGTTCCAAAAGTTTATTTTAACGTACTTTAAAAAACGGAGAGATTCATCGCCGTGAGTGGTTAATTTATTCATAGTAAAGGGTCTGTATTTTGTGTTCCATGCCTATTATTTGGTAGAAGTGGTAAAATGAATGCTGTTACTGGTGAAGGATTTCGTGACTGGAAAAACTCAAAAGCACGCATCGAAGCTCATGAAAATTCAGCATTAGTTCACGGGCGTGTTGATCAACGTCTAATAAAACAGTTCGATAAGGAAATGGCGTATTGGAAAAAAATTTATACCAAGTAATTGCAATTATTAAATCACTAGCAATAATAGGGTTGCCGTTTCGAGAAAATTCATAACGAATAGGAGATCCCCATAATGGGAATTTTTTAGGAACAGTAGAGCTTCTTGCAGAATTTGATCCATTTTTATCTGAACATTTAAAATTGTATGCGCACCCTGGTAGTGGAAATACGTCGTATTTGTCTAAAACAATCTATGAAGAAACTATATTGTTGATTCAGAATAAAGTACTACGACAAATTTCCAGTGAAGTGCAATCTACTAAGTATTTTGGTGTATTTGTAGATTCCACGCCTGATATTGCACATATAGATCAGCTTACTATAATTATCAGATATGTACGTGTTAACGGTGAAAGGTTTTCAGAATTTTTACCAAATATCGGCCATAAAGCTAAATATATTGAGGATGCTTTGTTAAAATCTCTAGAAAATAATGGTTTGGACATAATGAACTGTCGTGGCAATCTTATGATAATGCAAGTAATATGTCAGGCCTTCAGACACGAATCAAAACAATTAATCTAGCAGATTACGTTCCTTGTGCCGCCCATTCTTTTAATTTGGTAGGATCATGTGCAGTTGAATCGGTAACAGAAGCAGTCGACTTCTTTTCTACTTTGCAAGAACTGTACAATTTCTTTATTATATCTACACATCGTTGGGAGATCTTGGTGCAGCGTACAAATTTAAGAGTTAAGAGTCTTTCTTAAACTCGTTGGTCTGCTCGACTGATGCATGTTACGCATTAGAAAAAGAGTGGCCTGCCATAATTGATGCATTTATTGCCGAAATCAGAGATGAAAAACCAACTACGCTACGGGATTGCAGCGAAAATTACAGCATTTAGAAACAGCAATCCTAGTCATTGTTTGGAATATAATTTTAGATTGTTTTAATGCTGCTAGTGAAAAGTTTCAAGAATCTCAATCTGATTTATCATCCGTTGTTCAGATCTATAGTTTTCTTGCTCTATTTCTTCAAGATTCCTTAACAAATACGGAAGATGTACGCTCGGAGTCTTCGAGATGTTTATCCGAACATTGCGGACATTGCTCTCCAAATTTTTTTGTGTATTCCGGCTACAAATTGTTCAGGAGAAAGATCTTTTTCCACTCTAAAAAGGGTAAAACCCTATTTACGCGCATTACTGTCTATTGAAGCTCAACTAGTCCAAGAAATTAATTATTTCGATATAATCGACGTTTTTGCGCAGACCAAAGCCAGGAAAAAGAAATTTTCAAATTGATTAATATTAAAAAAAATATTTATTATTTATCTGTCTAAAGTTTATAACTTATTTATATGTCATGTTTATTAGTTATATTTAAAAAATTATATTTCAATAAATAAAGTTATTTTAAAATAAAAATATTGGATCAAAATGAATCAAATTCATTTTATCAAAAACGGCGGGGCATCGAACGGGGCCTAGGGCAGCAGCAAGCCTGAATCCGTCACTGATAAACATATTTAAATTTATAAGTTTTAACCGTTTTAAATGAGTGGGGTAAACTATTATATAATGCATGAACGCTGTAAGTAAAAGACTGTGTAAATATAGAGGTTTTATGAATACGATTAATATTAACCTTATCAAGACAGGGACCATACACAACATCGCAGTAGTTAAAGTGACTTAGAACAAGGAGTCGGTTAATTTTAGCTTTAAAGGCTTGGATAAAATATGACGATGAGGATAAAGCATTTTTAAGCAACTATAAACTTTTTTTAATGCATTTCGATATATGTCCTTTAAATCTTAAGTTTGTATGCATTATAATTCCCAAGTTTTAAGCTTCTCTTGAACATACTAAGCCACTTCCATTCACCATTTTGTCTAGACTATCCCTATATATTTCCTTAAATTTACCAAATAGTAAAATAGTTGACTTTTGTGCATTTATTGTATGTCTCTTGGACCACCAGTCTTGTAATCATAATTAATTATATTGTTTATTTATATTAAATGAAAATTTAAGCTGGGTATCGTCAGCATAAAATTATTGTGCAAAATCTTAGGTTGCTGCTTAAATTACACGTATACTGACAAAATAGTAAGGGTCCCAGAATTGAGCCTTGGGGTATGCCACAACATATATGGGCACTTCTAGATTTACCCCTTCCTGTCTGTACAAACTGTGTTCTTGTAAGTAGCTTTTAAGCATATTAACAGTTTTTGACGAAAATCCAAAAAAATTGGAAAATATAAAATAAGACGCCTTGGTTAATTGTATAAAACGCTTTGGAGTAATCTAGAAGCACCAATGCTGCTGTTTTGCCTTGATCTATGTCTCTTAAAATATCATCATTAATCTCCAGCAAGGTGGTAATACAGCTAAATCCTTTTCTGAAACCCGACTGCCTTGGTGGCAAAATTTTATAGTGGTTAACATGCTTCAGCATTTGCAAATTCATAATTTTTTCCAAAAGCTTATATAATATATTTTTTGGGTATCGGGATTACTCTTGAAATCTTCCAAGCTTCTGGAAATACAGAATTAAGAAGACATGAGTTAATGAATGATGTGAGTAATATATGGTAATATATAAGGGCAGCATAAAATAAACATATCAATACTTAAATCGTCGTGCCCAGTACACCTAGACTTAATACCCTCTGACACTAACGAAAATTAAAGAATATATAAGAACATACGTTGTATTTTTTGAAAATTGAAGAAAATAGTCATTATTATTATTGGGTATGTCCAAGTGGCCTGGAATACTCCGAACATGTGGTTTATGACATATATCAAGATCTCTTAGTTTTTTTATAGTTTCTTACTAAGATTATTCCAATTACCTATACAGTACTCTAGATATGCATTTTTTCACTTTTAATTAAAGCTGTTGATTTTTTAAATCTTTATAGCACTGCCAGTGAACCTGATTTCTCGTGTGTTCGAATTTTCTAAACGCTTTATCTTTAAGTTTAATCATAGTTTTTATGGGTTTTTCTTAGTAATTTGTATATTGTTCGTAGGTGCCAAAGTAATAAATATATTAATTAAAATATAAAAAAAAAATATTTTTGTCATTTATATTTTCAATTCTTAATAAGTCATTCATTTAATGCAGTATTTAAAAAAATAAAGAGCTAATTTAGAAAAATAAATAGCAATTCAATATAAATACTTTTTAAATTTCTAGTTTGAATTTTAACAAGGAGAGTATTTAAAGAAGATAAGTTTACTGTTTAATACACGAGTTGATGATCATATATATTTCCTACCTCTTTGGTGCCCCAAGTAGACGCACTTACACTTTCAGAGACCAGTATGATGTTATTGTTATTCTAGTAGGTAATTTAACTATTTGTTTAACATTAAACAAATCTATGCACTAAATCTAACTGTTTTATTATTATTAGTGTCCAGCAGGTCAATATTAATATCTCCTCCACATATTAACTGGGAGGGGGTTCTATATAAAGTTCCAACTATGTATGTTTTAGATAAGATTGAAATTTTCATCCAAACTTTCTCCACAGCATTATTAACCGATTTGTTTAAAACATAAAATTTATAACCAGACTTGATATAAAGTCTAACTCCACCTCATCTACTACACCTATCAAATCTTACAAAATCATATCCTGGAATACTAACTAAATCATCCAAAATATTTGGCGAGAGTCAGGTTTTACAAATTCCTATAAGGTCATATTTTTGCCCCAATAGCAGATTTTTAAAGTCTGCAAGGCTTTTTAGCAGTGATCTTACATTAAGAAAAGCAAAACAAAATTTTGTTCCTAGTAACGAACATAAGAATAATAATTAAATGCGTAAATAAAGAAGTGGCTTATTTTTTCTTGCTTCTGTTTTTTTAGGACTTGCTCCAGTTTCTTTTGATGGCGACTCTTCCGATTTTCTTTGATCGCTAGATTGTGAATCTATTGGTGTATCCAGATTTTTTTAAATGCTGTTTGGGTTATTAAAGATATCAGGGTTCTTTTCAAGCTCTTTAACAGAATATTCTCCAGCATCAAGAACTAACTTATTTTTTTACATTTTTGCATGAAGTTGTTTCTCCCTTGCTAATTTTAAATATTTGTTTAATTTTTTCCTCTCTTCGTAATCTTCTTGGGCATACTCGGGAGCGAAGAATACTTTAAGATCCTCATTTTTTGACGATTTTTTAAGAATATTATGTTTAAGATTATTACTAACTACTTCTATAAGCACTGGGCGAGGTTCATTATTATATATTTTTCCAATCGAGAAAGTCTTTCTCTTTATTTTTAAAGTTTCATTAATTATTTTAATAATATTACTTTGAGTTTCTTCTTTCTTTCCCTTGACTCCGTATGATAATAAGGTATACTTTTTTGTTTCCTTTTAATACTTAATATTTTTTGTTTAAGAATTTGGTTTTTTTTTTCCAGTTCAATATTTTTCTGTTTTAGGATTAGTACTTAATTTTGAATTTCAACTTTTAAGTCTAAAAATTCTTTCTTTAGTGAGTTTTGACCTTCTGAAATAAGTTTAAATAGGTCTTCATTTAATCTCAGTGGCTATGTCAACAAACAAAATTGCATAATTTTGGTTATCAAAACAGCAACAATTTATGTGTACTTTATGCCACACACCAGAAATTTCGCCTACAATGTTGGCCTGCAGATCTTCTAACGTTGCTGGGTTGTTGGTATAGACCAGCGATTTAATATAACCCCAAAGAAAAGAGTAAGGTGGCCATTCGCGAGGACCGTTGCGTCGACCGAAAATTGGCGTAAGCTCACGCAACGTAGTCGCAATGGAACGTGAACTTTTATAAAAAAAAGTTAAATAATTTGCAAACGTTGTAAGCGTGTATCTCTTCATGATAAAATGGCACAGACTGACGTTTCAAAATGTCAAAGAATTGCTAAGCCAACTACACTCCTATTCGAGAAATGTCAAAAACAAAATGCGTCGTCCTTATTAAAAAACCCTTAATATATATATATATATATATATATATATATATATATACTTATAGAGCATTATTCGTTCTTAAATACCTTAAACACCCTATGTATGTATATATATATATATATATATATATATATATAAATATTTATTTAAGTCGATATAAATTATGATTAAAATGGTTTACGATGTATCTTAATTTCTAAAGTTGGTTTTAGATTACTATAATTCATGGAAGTGTTTTTAAGCCCTATTTACATGGACCTGCGTAATATTAGGAAAACATGTACGCGATAATCTCCTTTTAGAGTCAAACTTTGTACCGATTGTGTATTTTGTTAGGGGATGTTTTGGGTTGGTCATAAATTGGGGGTAAATCGTAACTTGTATGACTTAGGTAAACAAAATTTTTGTTAATAGAGGCGAAGCCGTCAAGGTTTATTTTGGGGGTAAAAAAGGGGGGTTAGTTTAAAAAAATCAATTTTAATTTAATTTGTTGTTAAGTTGTAGCCGCGTCGATATACATGTATACTTATTAAACTCCTCGTCCTGCGGGCTTGTGATATCTGTAGCTGAAGCCATCATATTTAAAATTGTCGATTATAATATAGGCCAACA